CAGAGTTGCCCACCGAAGCTCGTGTGTGCGCCGATTCCGCCCAGCCACTCGCCCCTGGCCTTTGCGGGCCGTGTCTCCCGGCATCATGTGTGGTATATTTGCTTACTTAAACTACATGTCCCTCGAGACGAGACGAGAAATCTTGGAGACCCTAATCAAAGGCCTTCAGAGTACTGGATCCCTTGTGATGTTCGCCCTTATGATGTGTGATGATCGGATCTCCATGCAAGAAAGACGCAAAGAGATCATGCTTGGATTGAAACGGCTGCCTGATTTGATTAAGGAAGTACTGAGCATGGATGATGAAATTCAGAAACTAGCAACAGAACTTTATCATCAGAAGTCAATTCTGATAATGGGACGAGGCTATCATTATGCTACTTGTCTTGAAGGGGCACTGAAAATCAAAGAAATTACTTACATGCACTCTGAAGGCATCCTTGCTGGTGAACTGAAACATGGCCCTCTGGCTTTGGTGGATAAATTGATGCCTGATTGATCCGTGTGACATGGATCATCATGAGAGATCACACTTACGCCAAGTGTCAGAATGCCCTTCAGCAAGTGGTTGCTCGGCAGGGGCGGCCTGTGGTAATTTGTGATAAGGAGGATACTGAGACCAGTAAGAACACAAAAGAACGATCAAGGTGCCCCACTCGGTGGACTGCTTGCAGGGCATTCTCAGCGTGGATCCTTTACAGTTGCTGGCTTTCCACCTTGCTGTGCTGAGGAGGCTATGATGTTGATTTCCCACGGATCTTGCCAAATCTGTGACTGTAGAGGAAGAGTATCTGTACAAAATGTACGAAACTGTACGATTAAGCAACACAAGACACCTTTTGTATTTAAAATCTTGATTTAAAATATCACCCCTTAAAGCCTTTTTAGTAATCATATTTATATATCAGTTATAATTATTCCACTCAATTGTGATTTTGTGAAGTTACCTCTTACATTTTCCCAGTAATTTGTGGAGGACTTTGAATGATGGAATCTATTGGAATCTGTATCAGAAAGATTTTAGCTATTATTTTCTTTAAAGAATGCTGGGTGTTGCATTTCTGGACCCTCCACTTCAATGTGAGAGACAGTATGTTTCTAAAAATTTGTGCTTGTTTCACCATACTTCATTCAGACCAGTGAAAGAGTAGTGCATTTAACTGGAGTGATCTAAAGCCAGTGGCATCGTATGCTCATAGTTGGACAGTTAGGAAGGTTTTGCCAAGTTATATAAAGGAAGATGTGATTTATTTTGAAATTGTTTCTGTTTTGTTTTTAAATCAAACTGTAAAACTTAAAACTGAAAAATTTTCTTGGTAGGATTTATATCTAAGTTTGGTTGGCCCTTAGTTTCTCAAACTTGTTGTCTATTACCTGTAGGTGGAAAGAAATTTAGGAAGCAAAGTATTATAGTAGTGCATTGGTGGGTCTCCAATTCTTAACAATTGCCCACATTGTAGCACAAACTTTAATTGCGCGCTTTTGACAACTGACAATATGATTTTAAATTTGAAGATGGGATGTGACATATTGGGTATCTTCTTTGTGTTTTTTCATCTCCTAAAAATGGTTTTTATTTCCTTGTATCTGTAGTCTTTTTATTTTTAAATGACTGTAAATGACATATTTTATCTTGTTCTGTAAAATCACAACCACAGAGCTGCTATTAAATTAATACTGATATATTCAGTATTCTCTTCAACTTTGTCACAAGGAAATTTCCTATAGTTAATTTTAACTTTCCTTCACTGCATTGTTTGTGTAAACTAGTCCCTTAGTGCCAGTTTGGAAGTTATTTGTATTGTTTGGAAGATTTGCAGGTCATTGACCTCATCATTTCCAGTATATGTGGTAGGCAAGCTCAGAAAAAGGTATGTATGCTTTTACACTGATAGCCACCAAATTTAGTATTACATTCTAGTATTTTTTCTCTCTGTATTTTCCGTGCTCTACCCCTGAAATATATTAGGATAAAGAAGATATAAATAAAGTGATAACTGGGGTATGTTCAGCTTATAGGTGTCAGAAATGGAAAGTTGACAATTTGGATTAAAATATTTAAAGTAGAAATATTATTATTTGAATCCCCAAAATTGTGAGTAATGATTTCTTCATGGAGCTTTTCTGGCCAGATCTTCGGGCTATAGGAGTGTGTGTCTGTTTTTTGGTGAAGTCCTTCTTTTTCAAAAGTTTTACTTTTAAATTGTGAAGGTAAGCTATTTAGCACAATTTTTAAGTAAGCTAAGTCTTTTCCTTCCTTTCTCATTTGAACTTCTTGGTGAGGTTAAGATTTTCTAATAGTTATTTGTTGTTGCTAGAGAATTATAGAATTCTGCTTGTGTATTAGGGTTAGAGAAAGGTTTGTTATATTTTGAGGTAATTTGGAAGGACTTTCATACATGGTGACTAGAAACCTGATCTTTTTAAGAATAAAATAGGGTCCTACATATTTACATTATATATATATACTATTATAGCTATATGGGAATCTCACACTTTAACTTGT